GAGTGCGTTGCCGTACTTTCCACCCTGCGCGTTGACGTCGGCGCCCTTGTCTAGCAGCAGCGTCGCGATCTCTTTGTGGCCTCCAGCTGACGCCGCGTAGAGTGCGTTGCCGTACTGCCCACGCTGCGCGTTGACGTTGGCGCCCTTGTCTAGCAGGACTCCATTCACCCCTGAAATCCCCTGCTCTGCTGCTATAAGTAACGGGGACTTATTGTCTTTATCCTTGCTGTTAATCATGGTGGAGTCTGCGGCAAGTAACAACCTTGCGGACATCTCACAGCCATTCCTGCAAGCCCACCACAGTAAAGTCCTATCTTTTGAATCTTTTGAATCTTTTGAATCTTTTGAATCTTTTGAATCTTTTGAATCAATCGTAAACCTCCTAGATTTGAGTAAAACCGTAAGAACCCCGTCGTGCCCAAGCTCTGCTGCACCTAGAAGAAATCCTTTTGACTTCGAGTACACAAAGTCGCGCCTTGCAGCGCGCTGATCCGACTTGTGCTGGGACTGTTGTTCACTCACTGCTGCAACAGGGCTACTCTCATCTTTTCGCACACCAATTGATTCTAAACACACTTTAAGAGCCTGTTCGCTGCTTGTAGCAGCTGCGGCGAAAAGTGGACAGCCGTAGCGCTCAGCCTCAACATCCAAACAGCGGCTAGCTGAACCAAGGACTCTGATCAGCTTCGCCATGTTTAGCTCCGCAAGTAGATACAGCACACTAACATGTGCTGTGTGTCTGCGTATCTCATGCTTCTCTAACAGGTTGTTGAGCTTGACCCATTGAGGAAGCGGAAAGCTGTCAAGAAAGTCCACCTGGGAGATGCCTCCGCCTTCTGCTGCGTCTGCGTGATACAGCACATTACGTACAGCATACTCTAGAAAGGGGTACGTTTGCGTCGCTAACTTGCGTAGGCCTGCTGCTGGTTGCGAGGAGGCTTTTGGAAGAATTTCAGGAATTCTTAAGGGCGTGGCAATGTTAATGCTGATGTAGTTAAAGCAGCATTGTTTCAGTTAGTCATGACTTTGACCCTGAAAGTTGTTTTCATACTCTGGCCAGATCTTTCCAAGGCCGTTCTCCTTGAGTAGGAAGTCTCTCACTGACTCGTGTATAAATTGGACTTTCTGCTCCATAGACACAGTGGCTTCTGCAAGACCTTTAGACGAATTAAGGATGAATCGCTTAACTACGTCTTTGGTGATCTCCTCTGGATTCCATTCTACCACTTCTTCAGGATGAACGCCTGATAGGATCGCATGATACAGCTGCTCTGGGCTGAGTGGCTGCTTTGCAAAAAGTATCCACTGGATACACAAGACTAGTTCAGCTTTTTTATGTGTGTCTCGTGTCAAGATATCGCGGAACAGCTCGTGCAAGTCGCTAGGGATCTCTCGTAGTTTTCGCCGGAGCGTGTGGACATACCCGCAGTCTAACTCTTTGTTCAACATGCCAACTACAAGAACAACCCATATAAAGATTCCTGACGCCTTCTCCTGTAGCTCAGCTCGAATTTGCTGTGCGGCCTTGCTCTTACCAATCTTTAGCTCAGTCTCGACGTAGTTGGTGATGTCTTGCGAGTGTCCCTCTTGTCCCTCTAACACTAGCTCCAAGCCGTTGCGGATTGTGATGTACGGGTAGTGCCGGCTTGAGAAACAGACCTGGAAGCAGATGCCGTTTGATACAGATAGATCGCCCATGTGCTCAAAGAACTGGATCATGTCCCGAACCTGCCCTTCTTCACACTCGTCAAGCGCATCGATGAAGCATACGACAGGCGAGTCTCCTAAGCTCCGTATGGCTTGCTCTAGCAGCGTCTTCAGCGCCTCGATGTTCCACCAGTGGTCCGCGCTAAAGTTCAATAAGGATATACCAAGCGAACCAAAGACGGTTTGAAGCGCCGGCCGCCGCTCAAGAAGCTGCAGCAGCAGCGACCGGTATGTCCCAGTTGTAGACTTCTCTATATCCTCGCCGCGCGCGTTGAAGAAGAAGGAGAGCATGATGTGGTCTTTCATAGTCTTGCGAGCATTGACCAGCGCATACTTCATCAACGTTGACTTGCCTGTCCCAGCTTTGCCCTTGATCCATAGGAAGCCGTGATGCTCACTTACCTTGCTCGAATCAAGCCAGCTGAGGTACTGCTCACTCTTCAGGAGCCATCGGCACGTCCTGGCGTGGGCATTCTTAATTGTCATCTGGCGCGCATCAATTTGCTCAAATTTAAGAGAATCTAACAGACTCTTCCTTTGTTCATTGTTCAGCAGCATTCTTGAAGGTTCCTGTAAGTGGATAGCTTGTTGCCTGTTATGATTAGCAGAGCTTCAGTGGTGAAGTGTCACTTAGGGACATGAATGACCTACTCTGCAAAACCACTCTCTAAGCTACTAGAAACGCCAGTTTTTCTGCGCTTGTTGTAAGCTTGATTAGGAGATGATGGTGAGGAGCAACGTTCTATCGCCATATCAGCTCGAAAGCACCCTTGCCAGCAAGGTGGTTGATTGAACTAACTGTTCCCGCGGGGCATGGCTTCCTCCGCACGGCTTGTGTTCATCACGTCTGCTGCCGGTATCGCCGACAACAGCTCCTTCGCATATGCTGCTGCCGTCCCTGCCGCGTACGCCTGCCACTTGTAGTTCTTGTGTGTGTCGGCGTAGTCGGAGATGCCGCGAATGACAAGGCACGGGAAGCTGTTCATCAGCCCCGCTGCCTCCATCTCAAAGCACAACACCCCGCCGAGCTCCGCGCTGACTCTGTCCCTCTCAGCAGCATCCTTCATCACCTGGTTGCCAGATACGATCGTGCCGTAGTGTACCGTCACCTCTGCTCCGCTCTTGCGTTTTGGTCGTGACTCTCGAGACTCGCTGCTACACTGGTCGCACGTGTCACTGTGTTTGTGGCTGTAGGCTGCCTTGAACAGAAGATCGGGCCCTGCGTTGCGGCGCTGGAAGGTAGAGATGCACTCAAGTGATGATAGGTGGTCCAGCAGTGTGCTCTTCCTCACCATTGCATTTGCTTGTACAGTGCCTACAGCGCTGAGCAATATTTGAGGTGGTGAGTTTAGCGATCCAAACCGCTCAAGCCCGTTTGGCGTTTTTCTCCCAAAGTCGTACTGAACCACTCCGCTGAAGCTCTCCTGCGGCTGGCTCACCACCACGTCTCCAAGTCGGATGTCTGCATTTGCGCTGGGGACGCCTCTGCCAATGCCTACCATCAGGCCGAATCGGATGCCCTTAAATGCTGCCTGCATCTGTGTCGCCACAGCTGCCGCTGAGTTGGTTCCAATGCGGCCTGCTGGTAGGCAGCCAATCACAACGTTGTGGCCCGCAACCGATCCCAAGCAGTATACGTTTTGATCGTTATTGCTAAGTTTGTGGGCAGCATCTTCGTATTCTTCGTCAAGCATCGTCCGGGCCGCTGCCCGCTCGAGAGGCAGCGCGCACACCCATCCTACGGTGTAGTCTTCGCGGCGTGGCTGGCGTGGCTGGCGTTGCATTCGGGGCGCTTACGACAAGAGGGGAATGGACAGAGAGGACAAAAGGATGAGTGACTATCGTGAGTCGATGCATGCGGGAAGAAAGGAGTGATCAGAGTCTGGCAGCAGCAGCACTGTCGACAGGTGCTGTCGCTAAGCCTCAGCCTTGCGGCCGACGCTGCAGTCTGTCGCCTACATGTCGGCATGATGGACAGTTAGTGGTGCGGCTGGTCCTGTCGGGGCAGCCGTAAGCGCTAGCTGGCAGTGGGGCGGAGTTATCACCCCTCACGGGCGAGCGCGCAAAGGGGGCATTGTCGGCTTATTAGCCTGGTAGCAGTGTCCCGCCTCAGCCTAATCGACGTGCCTTAGCGGACTGAGCTGCGTTGTGCTGCGCTGCGCTGCGTGGCTTGCGCGTTGGTCGTGCACTGGGAGTCGTGAGCAGCCGGAAGCCAGCAGTCGTGCGCTGCAAGTCGTATGCTGCGAGCTGTGTGCCGTGAGCCATTGTTTTGTCCACTTTTCGCGATATCTTTTCTTTAGACAGATTTGACCTTACTCAGGCCACTCCCAGCATTTGCATGGTTTGCTTTAGTTGTGTCTATCGCTAGGTTCTGTACTCTGCTAGACTGATCCATCTCCCATCAGCGCAGCGGTCCGCAATAATTGCTCCGCACTTGCAGGAACATTGGAAACAAATACCAAAAGCACAGCAGCGTACCTAGCAGACATTGCCATTATGTTAAGGCTCGACACCTTTAGGAAGAGCAATAACTACAAGAAATGACAAAATAATAATGCACACTAAAACAACTACTAGCTAAACATTCCTTGACAACTTGTGCGACATAATAGCTAACAGTGCAATGATGAAGACAGCTGTTAACGCTGCAGTTGTCACACAACTGATAACCTCAGCTATCAGTATCGTGTTCTGGTACGTCCACCGCTGCTGACTAGCGACCAATCCAAGACCTTCGCTGTTGCTCTGAGCCTTTCGCGACAACCTCTAGTAGCAAAAGGCCCGCAAGTACTTGTGGAGCCAGCGCTGGAACGGGTCAGTCCGCGACTGTGTCCCTAGGTCCACCCTAAGCAGCCTAGTCTTGTGCGCTTCGTACAAACTAAGGTCGTCATGTAGGCTAGCCTGTTGCTCGTTGTCAAGAAGCAAAAAGGTCTCTATGGTCATGACGTTGTTAATGGCAGCGAGTGCTTCGTCTGTGTGGGTAGCGCCTGTTAGCGCGAGGACTCAGAGTAGAGCTACCAGCACACAATGTATTGTTTGAAGTTGCTGAATGTTCGGACACGTGCAATGGGCAGCTTCTACAGCACAACACGCCGCCAAGCACAACGCTTACTAGCAGATTGCATGCAGCATAAGCAACTGCGAGTGCCTTGCTAGCTGGGTCTATCTTAATGGTATGTGGTCGCAGGACAGCAGAACAGGCACAGGGAGAGCAGAGGGACAAGTGGCATAGAGGCCGTTCGCAAGCGAAGGTGCCAAAAATAGTTCTGTGTAGAAGCTTCTCAAAGGTCAGATACTGTTGCGGTACGAGTCGCTCCTATAGGCCTTGATCTTCACTCCTGTTAACTACCTTCGACTAGCACGCCTCAGAGCATGTATATATGGTCGCCTTCTAGCTAGCAAGCAACTCAGCGCAGCTTTCCATCAATATACAGCGGCTACGTCTGCCGCAACAAGTTTCTTTGTGCTCTATCATTCTCTGACCTGTCCAGTCCGACTAATTCTAAAGCATTTCTAAACTTGCAGGCGTTGGCCTGACAGAGTGGACGGGTTACCTGTCACTGCTTAAGTCTAGACTGCCTAATTCAGTCAGGAGACTGCTTAATTCGGTCAGAAGACTGCTTATAGGAGGGTGCAGGCCTGCCTGATTCTGTTCGGCGGATATGTTGTTAAGGACAGTTGATTGTGTCCGCAGGGCCTGAAGTGCAAGCACGAGATCGGGCGTTCGAGAATGCTGCAAGAGTGCTTGCAGGGTCTGTGGGCTGTGAACGCCAGCGCTGGACACCGCACCGACCCCAGCCTCATTGCGTACCACTGTCAAGTTGAACACTGGCTGGGACGTGTCCGTACTAAATATGGCGCGACTGCCTTTGCCGGCGTAATTATCCTCAATGGTAACTTGGGGTTGTGTTGTATCTGCAATTCGTTGCGCCAGTGCGATGCTATCGAGGCTGGCCTCCACGCTCTACAATGCCCAAACACGCTAGACGTCAGGATTAGGCTTAAGGAAAAAGACAAGCTGCTACCCAAATTGATTGAATGGGTTTTTCAGGACGCCCAGTATGTGCGATGGCAGAACAGCGAAGACGTATCCCTTCTCTAGATCAAGGTTGGCGCAGGCAAAGGAAAGACGATGATGTCCATAGGCCTTATTAAGTATCTTGAGCAGCCCTCCTGTCCTCATGAGCAGCCTCCCTTAATAGCGTACTTCTTCTGCCAGAACACCAACTACGAGCTTAACACCATCGAGGGTATTATAAAAGGGCTAATCCTGTGCCTGGTAAACTAGAGGAAGGAGCTATACAAACCTTTGCGTCGCCAATAGGACAATAACAACAGGTGGTTTTAAGAAAATCTTACCTTGTGGCAAGCGCTCTAGAGCATTCTTCTAGAAATGCTGCACCACTGCAAGAGTTAAAGAATATATGTGGTTATTGACGCTCTTGATGAATGTTAGAACCAGGACATGGCCGCATTCTTGCAGCTTATTGTAACGTACCTCACGGGCGAGTGGCCGGCCCGGGCGAGTGACCGGATTTTGCCAAGACCACACCAAACTTCATACAACCTGTGATGTCTCAACACAAAAAGGCTTAAAGTGTCTTAAAGGAACTAGATATATAGCTTGCTATTTAGGCTCTTAAACAAGACATAACTCTTACTATTCTCTGCGCTGTAACAATCTATAAGGTGTTAGAAAGAACGCTAAGACAATAACATGCTAGAACACTCTTATAACGCAATTGTAAGGTTAACTTAATAAAGCTAACAAGCACTAAAGAGGAGGTAATTGTGTAGCATGTTCTAAAGCTAGACGAGTGAGGATACCTACCCTGGCTTACTAATGTGTAGGATATGGCTAACTCTCTACTTACTAAGCGCCACCAGCCTCCTGTGGGCAAGAACTAGGCTAGCACGTTTGTTAAGCGTCGCCCAGAGCTCACAGTCAAGTTTAATTAAAAGTACAACTACAAGAGAGCCCTCTGCAAGGATCCTGAGGTAATCTAGGGCTAGTTCTACCTAGTAGAGAATACTAAAGCTAAGTATAGTATCCTAGACAAAGACACCTATAATTTTAATAAGTCTAGGTTTATAATAAGTATTATATTAACAGGAGCTATTGTTACAGGCTTAGAGCGTTGTAGAAGACTAAATACAGTACAGCAGGGCGACCAAGAGTAGACTAGCATTATCTAGGGTATCAACCCTAACCAGGTCGCAGAGCTTCAAGCTGCCAATGAGGCCGCCACACGCCGTAAATCACACAAGAGGAAGCGGATCTAGAGGGAGGGGACTCTTACTGTTAGTAAAGGAGTGCGCTTAACTACCCTAAAGGAGTTTAAAGCCTATAGTGATAGGAAGAAGGCAAGCAAGAAGAGGTGCGTTGAACCAGGCACTCAGTCTTTACAACGCTGTAGCAGGTGTAGTAAGGCAGGGCACAACGCGCGAACGTGCATAAAAGATGCGCAAGATACTGTAGATTAGTGCTGTATACTGTAAGTTACAGTAACTTGCAGTAACTTGCTGTAATATGCAAGAGAAGTTGAAGTTTGGTGTGGTCTTGGCAAAATCCGGTCACTCGCCCGGGCCGGCCACTCGCCCGTGAGGTACGTTACAGACAGGATTCAGCTCAAAAGTCAAGTGGCTGTTGACAAGCCGGCCGTTCCATAGTGCTGGACGTGAGCTGCTTAGTGCATCTAACCAGGTGATGGTTAGCTTAGAGCTGAACTCAAGCCATGTTTCTGAAGCAGTCAAGAGCTATATTGCTAAAAAGGTGTTTTAGCTTAATTATTGTTATTGCTATAGATCAGCTCTATGTAAGCAGCTTGAGGCCGAGCTTACTGAGAAGGCCAAGGATACCTACCTTTGGGTTAGCTTAGTGTGCAAGAGGCTTGATGGCGTTAATCAAGCCAACGTCTTAACAACAATTAAAGAGCTTCCACCTAGACTAACGCTGTTCTATTGTTAGATACTTGAAAAGCTCTGTGAAGGAGAGCCAGCTGTCGTTAAAAGGTCTATGCGACTTCTTAAGGTGATGCTGACAGCTTATTGCCCTCTTAGAGAGGAAGAAGTGAGCAGTGTAATGGGTTTGCCCTAGGAAGATGCAGAGATTAATCTGCTAATTAACAGGTGCGCTTCCTTTGTTAGGAAGAAAGGAGTAAGCATTAAGTCTGTCCACTAGTCAGCACGAGACTATCTAGCCCAGGAGATGCAAACTACTCTAAGCTTATACGTGAGTTGGGAGCGTAGAGAAATTGCGCTAAGCTGTCTACACTACCTCTCTCAGCAGCTCAAGGTCAACCCAGTAAGCTTACCCTAACTCGATTCTAGAAGAGGATCAATAAGGAGGCTTCCAGAGATGGCGGGACAGGGACTGCTGGACAAGGCAGATTATGCAGCCACATTCTGGGCACAACATCTCGCAGACAGTACGCCAAACGCGCTAGTAACAAATACCCTTGGAGATCAGGGCAAGTTTGTTACGTTCCTGCGTGCTAAGCTGCTGGAGTGGTTCAAATGCCTAAGTTTGCTAGACTAGCTACTGCGTGGGATTAAAGCATTAAAGACTTTAGCAGACGCAAGCAATGTAAGTACCCTTAACAATAACAATCTTCCTTAGAAGCATGACTAAGCTATCTAAAGCCTGACTTTTCCTTACTAGCCCTTGCACATAATGCTATCTATTTCTTATTACAACACTACTACACTATTGCAACATAGCTATTGTAGATCTACAGCTTTGCAATAGTCTTTAGTCCCTGAACAACTGTAGTAAGGGCAGCAAATCTAGACAAGATACCTAGGTGGCTGAAAGCCCTCCTATAAGTAGAAGCAACATAGACATCTCTTGTGAAAACACTAGAAGGTTACTTAAACTTAGTTATAGCTGTAGCCTTCTTGCTGGACAGCAAGCATATTGCGTTAGGCTCTTAGGATAATAATGTTAAGCTGTAGGACATCTACAAAGTGTTAAGACCTTTAAAATTTATTAGGAACACTCTTAACAGCTAACGTAGATTATTACTAAGCTAGCTATATCACTAAACTAGCCATATTCTCTTAGCACAACTAACACAAATTACTACAACTATAACTAACGTACCCCACGGGCGAGCGAGCCAACGGGCGAGCGAGCCACTTTTGCCAAGCCCCTACCAAAGTACCCTTTCTATACCAATGTCTCAACAACAACCTATTATTAACACGTCTTAAGAAGCTTAGGTACAGCTTGCGCTTTAAGCTCTTAAACAAGACGCAAATCTCTCCCAGCAACGCGCTGCAGCTATCTATAAAGTGCCTTGAAGCACGCTAAGCTATCAACACACTGGACAACCTTCACAAGGTGATACTATGCCTAACTCACAAGGATTAGATATTAATAAGGAGAGGGTAATTGTTAAGCATATACTTGAGCTAGACGCGCAAGGATTTGGCCCCTGGCTTGCAGATGTAGCTGCTATGGCCAATTCTCTGCGCGCTGAGTGCAATCTAGGCCCTGTTAGCGTAAACTAGCCTAGTACGTTTGTTAAGCGTCAACTAGAGCTTAAAGTATAGTTTAATTGCAAGTATGACTACAAGCGAGCCCTCTGCGAGGATTCAGGGGTTGTGCAGGGCTAGTTTAGCCTAGTAGCTAACATTAAAGCTAAGTATAGCATCTAGGATAACAATACCTATAACTTTAATAAGACAGGCTTTATAATAGGCTAGATCTCCTTAGGAGCAGTTGTTACAGCTTTAGAGAGACTAGGAAGGCCAAAAACAGTCTAGCTAGGCAACTAGGAGTAGACAACAGTTATATAGGGCATTAATGCAAAAGGATAGGCTATTCTGCCCTTTATTATCTTTAAGGCACACCACTACCTCTCTAGCTAGTATAAGGAGGAAGACCTGCCCTAGGATTAGGTTATTAGAGTCTCTAGTAATAGCTAGACTACTAATAAGCTTAGTCTTAAGTGGTTAAAGCACTTTAACGCGCATATAAAGGGGCAAACTGTTAGTACCTACTAACTGCTAGTTATTAATAGCTACGAGAGCCACAACTTGCTCTAATTCTAGCAATACTGCAAGGATAACAAGATTGTTACTATATGTATACTTCTGCACTTATCACACCTCCTACAGCTACTTAATATAGGTTGTTTTGCCCCTTTAAAGCTAGCGTATAGGCGCTAAGCTAAAATACTTATGCGCAACTAGATTACCTACCTTACAAAGACTAAGTTCATCCTATGCTTTAAAGCAGCCTATAATGTAGTGTTTACTCCTAGCAACATCTAAGGAGGGTTCTAAGGTGCTAGATTAGTCCCCTTTAACCTAGAATAGGTTATTTCAACTCTTAATGTGAAGCTGCAGACTCTATCACTACCACTCCCTACTAACAGCAAGCCCTAGCATTTACAAACCCCTAGTAATACCCTAGAATTTAGGTTGCAATTAACTCTAATTTAAGAGAAGTATAAGAAGCAGCAGGGTAGCTTACTAGACTCTATTCTAAGCGCGCTTAAGCACTACGCAAAGGGGGGAGCAATTTTATCCTACAAGCTAGTTTTGGCCTAACAGGAAATTAGCAAGCTTTAAGCAGCTAATAAGGCTGCTATGCAACAAAAATCACACAAAAGAAAGCAGGTTTAGAAGGAAGGGACCCTAATAGTTGGAGATAGGCAGCAACTAGCAGCTCTAAAGGAGTTTGGGGCGCGTGGTAATAGGAAGAAGCCAAAGAAGCGGGTGCGCGCTCAAGAGGGTGAGCCAACCCAAAGGCGCTGCAGAAGGTGCAATCAGACTGGCCACAACGCGCGAACGTGCAAGATTAATGTAGAAGTAGTCTCTGAGTGATATTATATGCCGTAGTCTGCCACAGAGTGCCAAAGTGTGGTGTTTTAGGCCATAATAGGTCAGGTTTTGGTGGGGGCTTGGCAAAAGTGGCTCGCTCGCCCGTTGGCTCGCTCGCCCGTGGGGTACGTTACTTACTATTAAATAGTAACCTAGCATACTGCATGCTTGTATTAGATTTAGAAGATGTTTCTACACCCTCCTAGCATGTTTGTACATTATGTCTAGTCTTGCTGCAGTTCCTACAGCGCTAAATAGTTAACTAAGCTCCTAGTTAACTACCTCTACCCTAAGTCTTCTTAGATAGCTAAGCTGCTACAGACGCCTCAGCAGCTACCTGCAATATTGCTAGGCCATACTTAAGTGTGCTACTATGCTAAATCTAATTTCTCTTACGTAATATTCTCTTAGTTATTACTG